ATCTACAGTGATCCGTTCATAAGGTACCATATACATGGTACAGAATAAAAGATGAAACAGAGGGGGGAAATGGTCCCCAAAACCTGATTTCATGAGTAATTTTTTTCTGTATTCACTTAGTGCAATAAAACGTGTTCTCACTCACAAAAGAAGTGATCAAAGTCCTCTGTTAGTTATGCCTTTATTGGTGCCACTCCTTATCAATGCATAATGCAGTTACATATTTTACAATGCTGGTTTCACCCACTTTACCTTTATAAAATTTCCTGACAACTAGAGTAATCAGGTAATGGAAATATTAAATGTAAGGAGATTTTAAAAACCTCAGATAGTCCCATCAACCTTGGGGGTATTCTGTATTGACCACTTTGCAGAACCCTGGTCTACGTAGATTGCAATGTACCCTATACATTGTAGCAAATTTCCTAATGTTTCGAGGTATCTGTGTAATTTTCTACACAGTCATTAGATCTGAATTCAGTGCCAGCAGGCAGGCTTGTTGCCAGCAGGCAGGCCTTTTCATGCCTAGGCAACTTTTGATCAGCAGGAAGCCCACAAGGTTTTCTTTTGTGTTGTGTATATCACAATTGTCTGAGATAAGTCAATTTTTTGAAGAAACATTATATAGCTGGTTTCAGATCATAAAGATAACATTCAGAGAGAATGGAAGAGAGCCTAACCGTTTGGAGGAAGTGGGGAAAAAAATACCCAGAAATTTATATTTGTATAAGGGGAGGGGAAGGAATATTGGAAGGTGACAGTCATATACTTGCTAAACCATCTGAAAATGGTCACCAAATTAATCTGAGAGTCTCTTAAACTTCTCACCTCTCCAAAGGTTTAATCAAATAAAAGATATGGGACTTTAAGATTAAGAATATTCATATTCTAAGATGCCTCTATTGTCTCTTAAGAATCTTATATTTCCTTATTTTTTTTCTTTTCCCCAAAGCTTCACAAATGGAGGCTGCAAGTTAAAAGTTTGCAGAAATATGGGGACTACCCCCTCCCCCCTATTGAACAAGTAATGACTGATTTTTTAGTCTGGATACATATACAATATTTATAATTTAGGCCAAGTATTCTATTGGATACAAATTTAAAATAGCTTGTAATCTATGGGACTCTCAGTTCTCTGGGAACCGGCCAATCGCATTTCTTGCTCTATCACTAGACTTGATCCTACAGTATGTCATACAAAGTTATGGTTTGTTTAGACACAGTTTACTAAACATTTGGATGGGTTCACAGAATTCGCTAAACCACAGTTTATATGCCATATAATGGCTTGATTCACATATGATACTGAGTCAAATCTAAGTAAGCTGCATACAGCATATGTGAATTTAACAATAGTAAATTCAATCTAGGTTCAGTACACACACACACACACACATACCCATTGAACAAGTAAGGACTGAGACAACCAAAGCAGTGCCAAACAAGAGAAGATGCAGAAGGCCAAACTCTGATTCCTCCAGAAAAAGAAGCTGTTATACTGTATATCAGAGACTCTAACTGCCAATTGGCCCATTGTGGTCTACTATGATTATTTGTTTATTTATTTGCTGAAATGTTACAGATTAGATATTATATTATTAGATTTTTAAGTGGAAACTATAAAATGTTAGAAAAGAAAATAATATACAATTCACAGCCAGCATACATACTGTAGCATTTTATATTTTTCACATATAATATTCTGGATCATTTATGACATATCATACAGGAAATATATATTTGAAGCCAAAGTACTCAAATATGCAAGCACTTCTGGTTGTATAATTTAACTTTCCCAAAGACAAATATCTACTTCATCATCAGTGAAATCATTCTTCCTCTATCCTTCACAAAACTTGGCAGCTACTACAAATCTCAACATCAGGAGGAAAAGAGTCATCTGAATGATACATAGACCATCTTTGAACCCCTGACCTTGGACTTGACATTAACTTCTGACCTTGGACTTAATATTAAGTTACAGAATTGAGAGAGAAATCATTCCATGTGATACTTGAAACTTCTTTTCATCTGGAACCTGGGACTTAACAAATTTTAAACCCTCACTAAGAAAAGCATAAAGTTTATATGCTGAATATCTGTTCTTGCTACACTGTTTTTTTCCTTACTGAAAGTAATTGATATTTATGTTATCCCCAAGTTGCATGTTTACCTTGGACAAAACCAATATAAGTATTTCTGTAATCAAACCTGCATTGGAAGACTTCTAAAATGAGACACAAATGATTGTCAATTCTGTAAAAGGTTATAATTCAATACATGGTCAAATACACATTAGCTTTTATTGATCATATTTCATACTGTATGTTTATGTTTTGCAACTAGTTGCTCCATGTCAAGTTGTGTGGGGTTCGTATACATATACAGGCAATATGAGTGCAGGACTTTGCATTTAAATATAATGAAATAATGTAATTACAGCAGCTAGAGTATAGTTTTCACTGAGTCCCCTAAATATGTAAATACAAGTAGCTGATCGTATATAAAGTATTCAAGACAGCCAAGATACAACTCAAGAAATAATCATACTAACTAGACAGCAAAATGTTACATTTTAAAGTTTGCTGCGATTTTTTGACTAATGTGATTTGGTTGTAAAATAACATTTCAAACTGTTATTTGTATTTAAAGAAAAAGTATAAAGATAGTGACATACCTGTACCTATAGTCCCCTAAAACACAAAAATCTGCAACCTTAACCTAGCAAACAGTTCCCCTGCATATATTTGTATCACATGGGCATTTTCCATAATATAGTTTCCAAATATTATCCAATCATCTATATGGGGCAGTTTTAAAAAGCAAACACATCTCTAATGGTTTCTTTGTACAGTTGTCATGTGTACTGTGTTTCCCACATTCTTTAGTTTGGACGGTAATGTTTGTATTTTGATTAGGTAATATTAAACCAATCTGTGAAAGTTCCAATTCTCCCTCTTTCATCTCAGCAAAATGAATATGTGTGCTTGCATAACTAGCTATTGGCAAAGACCATTTTTAAAAAGACTTGGGAGACTACTGAGGACAGAGTGGACACTTGTATTGAAACTTCTTAAGAGTAAATAGTTTCCTTTCCTACAGACACCAGCAGCATATCTTTCTATTATAAATACAACAGTAATAATGTAATATTACTTTGTAATGCTGTACCTTTGTAATAAGTGCACCTTTGTAATAAGTGCACCTGCCTGGACAAATGGCATGAAAGGATATAATCTTTGGACTTTGCATTTAAAAAGGCAGAGAAGTAAAATCACTTTAACTCTAGTCTAATACAATCATACTAGTCCACTACTAGTATTGTTATATATCTCTGTGAAAGGCAAAAAATAACGTACTAGAAAAGTCTTGTGAAGAAAAACTACTGCACTTGCACAAAGTCCATAAAACTTTAGGCCTATATTGCCTAGGCTGAAAAGATCATACCTTCAAAAAGGAAGGAAGAGTATTCTCCATGCTTTAAGGACCTCCTTTTTGTCCTCATCCTTTAATTGGAAGATATAGCCTTAAAATGAAATATTGTTCAGCTTTTTCAGTAATTGCATGCTATATTTTACAAACTTTTCACTATGACACAACTTCCTTAATAAATGCTAACCACAAGTTAACAAGCTCCACTCTGTAGCTGATTAGTCCCCTTCAGCCTCATGGACTGCTATTTGAAATTGACAATAATTTAATTAATTACAAACTAGCTGTAGTCTAGCATATTCCTAGGATTGATAAACCAATCTATCCCATGCTGGAAAAAGTAATTCCATATATATAGAGGCCTAAGTCTGATTGATTGATTTAATTTAATTATTTATTTGTTTGCAGTTTTTCAATGTAATTTTTGTCACAGTTGCAAAGGAAATTAAACAGTGTGCCTGCCTTTTCCCCCTATTTGGCCCTCTTTCCAATTCTCTATGTCCTCCTTTTCAGATATCTGGTAATCCTATGCCTGATGCATGTTAAGTCAATATTCAGTTCTCAAACACCCTGAACCACAAACTTCCTTCTCAAATTAACGATCTAAGTCTATGCATATTATATTCATTCAGATTAGCCAAAAGTTAATTGCTTCACATCTCAAGACTTTGTAGGGGGAAGTGGAAGTGAAGAACACACAGGGTATACAATTAGTGTGAGTTCTTTAATACTCATCCCACTCAGTAGTAACTCCATCTAGGTGACATCTAAAAAATAAGCTCCTAGAAAATACAGCCTCCAGCATTAAAAAGATTACACCACAGTTAAGTTAATAATATTAAGTTAGATGGACTTGTGCTCTGCTTGATTATAAATGAAAATATCTCATTTCACCCAAACCACAGTTTGGAACCCTTTTTACCATAAGGATCACATTTTCACAGAAAAAGCAATACAGTAGTAGCTATATTGGTCATGAGAGGAAAGAAAATAAAATTACACAGAGACAATATTATGATTAGGAATATGTATTTTCTACTAGTGAAGCCTCACATACTTGTTAGGGTAAGCCAAGCTACACTCAACAGGGCTACAATGAAGAGTCATTTTAAAAGATCTCTTTTTCTAATTTTAGAGTAACACTAGATACTCCAAAAGCCATATTCCATGCCATATTTGGAAAAATAGGTGAGGGTAGAAAAACAACAAGTTTGCAACAGGAGATTAATGGATATTTACTCTGGGCTCAAACTATATAATAGTAATACAGACTTCTGTATGAAGCTTTTAGTGTACACTGTTCCTATTTTATGCACATTTATATTAGAGTTTTTCATTTATAGCCTTCCTATTTTTAGCTCATTACTTCTAATGATACATTGCCTGTTCACAGAGAGGCATTGACCTGGAAGCACAACAAATCAGTAAAAACCAGACATTTATTGTACTGTAAAGCTTCAGATTTTTACAATAGAAAATGCATGAGTATTTACTGACAAAATAATTCTTCTGCCTGACACTCTCCTACAAGTGTACTAAAAGGTAGCAAAGTAGCATGACTCACTCACCTGCACAGATAATAAGGAGGGGGGGCCCCGTGTTTCCTTTCATAGTGGCTCCTCTGTTTTCCCCAGCCTTTTCTTAAAATTGTCAAGAATGCAGGTGTTAATGAAAGTGCTAGCCAATGTTGAAAGTAAGTGGGAAGTAATTGCCTCCTAGTTGTAGTTTGTACTGTGTCTTCACTTCCGCCCTAGATTTTTTCCACACCCTCTTCCTTATATCCTTTCACCCTTTCTAACAAGAATTGCAAGTTGTGTCACAGTAGGTTTGTTTTCATATCTTCCATTCTCTTGCTGAAAGGCCAAGGAAACATTGTCTAAGTTGCCCTGCCTTCTCCCAGGTAAACAAGCCACTCTTACACAGCTCTTTCGATAGACAAAAGAACATGCAGAAAAAGAATCAGTGGTGTTTAGGGCAGGGTTTCACAAAGTGTGGAGTGTATTTTTCTTGGAGATGTGCAGAGTTCTTGGAGATGTGAAAAACCTTTCAGTTGTCCATTGTTATAATAAATCCATCTTTCTCAACGTTTCATTGTATTGGTTTCATTATTCATTATTGTGTTCATTTTGAGTTTTGGATTTTTTTGATGCATACATTAAGATTACACTTAAGGGAGATGTGATGGCAAAAAGTTTAGGAAACCCTGGTTTAGTGGTTAACATATTGGACAAGGATTGTGGAAACCCAGGATTAACTCCACAAAAAGTCACAGGGTATTGTCTTCTCTCAGCCCAATCTACCTTATAAGATTGTTGTTATAGGAAAAAATGAAGACAGATCTCTGTTTATGATGCCTTGAGTTTCAGGAGAAGAAGCAGGATGTAAATTGAAGAAATAAATAAATAAAATAGCAATAAGCCAGATTTCTCCAGCAGCCAATAAATGTGCTAGTACAAATACCACAAAAGGAACAATTACAGTAAGACAACACTCTGGGGTATCGCATATCTCTGGATATACTCAGCCATCCAGGTCATGGATATCCCAAAAGTGAATTTCCAAAAGATAACTGGACTTTCTTGGCGGGGTGTGTGTGGTGTTTCCTTGAAAATGTTTCGCTTCTCATCCAAGATGTTTCTTCTGCTCTCAGAACTGAAGAAGCTTCTTTGATTAAAAGTGAAACGTTTTCAAAGGGAAAAAAACCAAGAAAGTTCAGTTGCCTTTCAGAAAAGCACTTTTGGGACACTGGTACTGCATGTTTATGTTTTACTGGTACTGATTCAAAGGTAGCCTTTACTTGTCATTAAAGAAATCAAAACACTTCATGCTAGGCCTTATTTATGGCATTGTGATCTAATTTATTTCTTCCCCTAGTGAAATGCTGCAATATTCTATTTATTCAATATTGTTTCTACATTCCATGTTGTTAAAACTTCCGACTTCCTCCACCCACTACACTGGAATTTGTTGTGTAGGTATATTTATAACTAAACTTTTTTTTNTCTGCCGGAACGCGGCGGAACGGCGTTCCGGCACCTTTTTCCGGGCCGGCCGCACCGGAAATAGCCCCTCCCAAACCGGAAATAGCCCCTCCCAAATTTTACTTGCATCTTTTTTCTAAAGGGGCGGGCCTAGGGTTTGATGGGGGCGTGGCCAGGTTTGAGTTCCGCCACCTTTTCGCTGAGAAAAAAAGCCCTGGTTTTAACCAACCTCTTTTCTTTCCTATTAATCTCTAAAACTGGGGGTTTAGTATTCTGTGTTCCCCACTGCTTTAAGGCTGTTGTTATAATTTCAGATCTCTATTCTATTCTTTATATTATGTAGAGATTAACCAATTCATCTAATGTCAACTAAAGTTCCTTATCACACTTTAGTGCAAAAATTGTCACTGCTTTGTAGTAACTAAAAATAGTTTGGTCTTTCACCTCTCTTTTCAGTATTTCTCTCTTTGTCTTCTCCTTCCCCCATCCTCAAAAATAGCTGTGAGTACATGTAACACTCCTCCTCGCTTAGGGTAATATTTCATGTACCTCATTATGTGGGTGAAATACAGGAAGCATCTGCAATAATCTATTCGTTAATCTTTAAAGTATCATAAGACTGCTTCTTATTTTCCCTAATTCAACTTCTTGTTTCATTTTGTGGCTTACCTTTTCTGTAATAATCCATTAAAAATAGAGGGAAGGAGCAAATGGAAACAAAGATACTTAAAAGGAAAATAATTTTAGTTCCTGATCCTTAAAGGGACACATGTAAACAGACATAAGAATATAAAACTAATAAAATGTTGCCCATCAAACTTTTGAACTGTTTTGCAGATAATTGTTCCTTGTTTTGAAAGAACAGGGTTAAAATCCAGGCTTGGCATTTTTCTTGACATTACCCAACAACCAGCCAGTGCCTAGAGATGTTATATTTAGAAGGCTGATAAAGTTTGAAGCTGACAGTTGTCCTGTCCCTTTGCAAAAAAAATCACTGAGAAGGAAAGAAGGCAACTGCCTGGATCCTACCTTTTTGATTCGTTTCCTATTTTTTTAGAATTGTGCCTGAACTCTCAACAAAGATAATTTTATCACCAAGAGATACACATGTTCACAGCATAAATGGTAAGTTGTTTTGAGGTTGTCATAATTTCTCAGGTCAGACTTGCTAGGTCATAGCAAAGTAGCAATAACAACCCACCCTTGCTTGTGGCGGCCTGGCTGCATTCCTGACATTTCAGAAAAGCTGTAAGGGGCGAGAATGAGAACTGCACAAGAAGGAAATCAGGATCAAAGCTTTGGGGATTGGAGTGGGAAAGCTAATTCTTTAACAGCTATAGAATCCTGCGTAAGAGACATGTTGAAATAATACTGGCTTCATAAGATTCCTCTAAAATCAGAACATGATCCGGGAGGTCCATTTCAGACTGGGAAGGTGGTAGAGAATTCAAAATGGAAACATTTAATTTTTAAAAAGTGCTCTCTTTTAGGTGACAGTTTTATATCTTCTTAACTAGAAATAAATTCCATTAAACTCAGTAGAATGTATGTCTGTGAAGGCCTGCAGAAATTCATGTTTTCAAAGCACGTTTTTATTTTAATAGTGTTGGAGAAAAATGTGTGAAGAGGGAACTACTAGCCTTAAAAGTTTTTTCTCCCTTCTCAAGAAGTTTGTTTTGTCTCATTAAGCAATACATCAACGTATTTCAGTCTCCAAATACTTTATTGTGGGTTTGCATATGTAGACAGGTTCAGTAACATTCCATGGGCAAAACCCCCAATATATAGGAAACAGTGCTAATAAACAACAAGAAAATACAAGATTATAAATGTTTATAATATACATATGTTTATAATTTATAATTATGTTTAATTTATACAAAATTGTAAGTTACTAATTTATAAATGAATTATAAAAAGACAAAATTTTAAAATAGACTCAGGTTGCCATGCTGCATGTGCTAAATGAACCTGCTAAATGTTAAACTACAGCTATAGCTAGCTGTAGCTACTTTGACTAACTTCCTCTTGAACCCTAACCACAAATGCAACATATAAACTATTAATACGTATCTATGTGCTTTTAACGCTTGCTTCTATTTGCTTGAAATATGAATTAATATTCAAATAGTTTCCATTCTCCCATAAAAGGTACACTAGGTTTCAAATATTTTTTTTAAAAAAAAATGGGTTTTGAGAATCTATTTATTATAACACCATATTTTACTATTTTTGTGAGTACCTAATAACATGCCACTAATCATTTGATAAGAAATGAATAGACTTCTGCCTTGGATAAAGTAATCATGAAGAATCCCATTTCCTTGCATAGTTACAAAAATTTCCTCTGACTGAATTCCATGGTTTAATTCTTCATAATTCAAAGTTTGATCTTGGTTGTTTGAGAAGCATCATATATATTAACTGTTTAAACGTTTTCCCCTCTTTCTAAAATATATAGTGTACTTTGCATGACTCAGCAGATGAGATTCCTTGAGGAATTATATGATTTAATTTATTGCGATCTGCAATCCTTTTCTTCCCAATTTCAGCTGGTTTCCACAACAGTGATGGCAAGCAGTATGGATTCAGAGGGGGACCAGGCAGTGCCTGATGGAGGAGAACCTGATGTGAAGACAGTGCAAGCTCACTATCTTCGAAGTCCTTCGCCTAGCCGGTGAGTGTTTCACAAAATAAGTCTCTATACACGTCCCATTGTATAGAACAAATTGCAAACTTTTTCTTTGCTCTCTCTTTTTACACTCACCAAGTACATTACTGAAACCCTTACCAAGAACAAGGCATAACGAGTTTTTTCTTACTTCTTTCAGAATCCATGATTGAGAGCACAAGCATTATTTTGCTAATTTAATTGATTCAACAGAGGTTTTGTACAAGCACTAGGGGTTCTTGGGAGAAGCACTGGTGACATCCGTGATGCAGGAGCAGAAGCCCACCCAAGCTGCTGTTTTTGCATCTATCTTTCTATAGTACTGATTGGTTTGGATGCTACTGTTCAATTCTACTTTTGGCATAGACTTGGAATTTGTGAGTAGCCAGATTGTAGAGTACTGAGTGGAATGGAGGGAGGTCTAGTTAAAAAGTATGATTTGTTTTAGCCTGCAGTGTAACCTTTTTCACTGTCACCAATATGCCTATCCTTCCCAATCCACTAAAAATAATAATAAACTGGATGAAGATTCAGCTGGGAGTGGGAACAGCCAGTCCTGCTTTTGGAGAGCAAAGCTCTAAGAGAAATACAGTTTGCATGAAGGGGCTTTCTCTGCAATCCCCCTCCCTCCCTCTGTTTTGCAAAGCTGGAGTAAAATAGGAAGTAATTTCCAGTCCTGAGAGCACACAAAACCAAAATTCCATTGGAGGCTATCAGAAAGGAAATAAAGTAATTATAGCAGTATAGAAAAACAGATAAAATACCATCAACACCCAGAATTTGAAAAATGCAACTAGATGTCCTCCTTGGACTTTTAGATAAAATGGAGCCTAATGTGAAAACCTGAGATGGAGCAAGCTTCCAACTGTCTAAAAAAGGAAACCGAAGGACAATGCTTGCGTATTTTCTTTTCTTGCTTTTTCTATGGCCAATCCCTGCATGTGAAAATGCATTAGCTGGAGCTGGAGCCTTCTGATGTTTGGTACATTTTCACTCAAGTCCACATGGACTTCCCCTTGTCCTAGCCATCTTAGCTGCTATTAGATTGAAAACTGGCAGTAAATACACTTTGATTAATACAGCTATGCTTGCAAGATTCAGAAACGTAGAGACCCTCTAGTGGATAAAAAAGAAATACCTTTTTCGACTTAAAAAGGGGACAATGTTGCAAACACTCAATTTCTTAACTTGGATTTGTCAGCAAAGTACAGGGAAGATTGTTGCTTTCCATTAGAAAGGAATTCTTGACAATAATTTTGTGATGAAATGGAGACAGCAAGGCATAATTTCACCTTACCTGCCCCCAACTGTCTTTTCAAGCAATTTAGATGGCCAATTGCATCTCCTACAAGTTTTTAGAACATATTCTCCACACAATACCTATAATAGCACTGTACCTGTTCCCCAGATGTTTGGGCCATAAAGTTAGACTGGTCCTGTTATTGATGTGTTTTTATTATTAGAAGGTGTCATTTATTGCAGGGCTTTTCAACCAGCGGTACGGGTACCACCTGTGGTACATTGGCACCTAGCAGGTGGTACGCGACCATCCTAGAAAAGTGGTAGCGGGGGAGGGGAATGAGCTCAACCAGTGGCAGCACTGTACAAGCCTGAGCGAGAGATGGCTGGAGCTGCAGAGATGTCAGGGCTCAGTGGATATGCCAGGATCAGTGCCAGGCTCCAGCTGGAGCTCGGTGCTGATCCTGGTGCTTCTGCTAAGCCCTGAAGAAGTACCAATCATCTGGAAAGCAGCACTGATCCTGGCGCTTCTGCTGAGCCCAGAAGAAGCACCGATCAGCTGGAATGTTGTAGCATCTCCAGGGTCTTGTGATTTACATTCAGATGCTTGGCAACTGATTCATATTTATGACAGTCACAGTGTCCCAGGGTCATGTGAAGTGACCAAAACCTGCTGCAACCACTCAGTAGACGGGGGGAATAAAAAACAAACACCCCCACTCCACCCCTGCTGCCAATCCTCAACAGAAATGCTCACAACAATGAAAACCTCGGACAGGAGGAAGAGCGCGGCTGGGCAGGCAGGCAGGTGTCTTGCTCGGCTGTGGCTTGGGAGGCACTTTTTTCAGTGCCATTGTAACTTTGAACAGTCACTAAGCGAACTGTTGTAAGTCAAGGACTACCTGTACTTTATCACTTTTTTCCTTTTTTGGGGGGGGGTCATCAAGTTTTTGACACCTTGCTAGGCAACTGGTGGTACTCGGATGTTGCCATATCCCAGTGATGGCGAACCTTTTAGAGACCGAGTGCCCAAACTGCAACCCAAAACCCACTTATGCATCTTCGGGTGCCGGGTGGGTGTGGCCCATTGGCTGGGCATGGCTGCAGTGGTAATGGCAGACAGGGTGGGACTAAAAAGTTCAATCAATCAACTCCAACTTTGCAATAATTTTTTTCCCCGCAAGAAGTTGAAATTGACTGATTGATTGAACCTTTTTTGTTTTGCACACGGCGGTGGAGGCCTAAAGCAAAAAGGTTTTATAAAACCCAGCTGAAGGCCTAGGACTGGGGCGATGGCGCGAGTGCCCACAGAGAGGGCTCTGAGTGCCGCCTCTGGCACCCGTGCCATAGGTTCGCCACCACTGCCATATCCTAAAAGTGGTACAATGGGTGAAAAGGTTGAAAAGTCCTGATTTATTGAGTTCCACTCAAAGGTTATTGCTTTAATCTTTGAATTTTAATTTTTATACACTGCCCTGAGTCACTGTTATGAGATGAGCAGCCAAATAAATTATTTGAGTAAATAGATTATAGTTTGGACTGTCTACAGTCTATTACTGCTCCCTTCTTATAAAGGAGAAAACCAAAATGAAGAGTGACATTGTGAGATGGGAGTTGTACCAATATTTCTTAATGAAATTTCTTAATGTTTTCTTTCTAGGATGAATAAGTAGTTACAAATACGTTTCACACTGCAAAAGTCAATACACAGTAGAAAGAAATGTCACCTCTTTTTTGTAAAAATGATTTTATGTTGCAGTTGTTTACATTAGCATATTTGAGGAGAAGGGAACATGGATAAGGATGAAATCTTTACAGAGAAATGTCAACTATCTCTGAGATATTACTCATTTGGAGTAGCTTCTGAAAGCAACTCTCCGAACAGAGACTCTCTGGAAATATCAGCTGTCTTGTATAATTTATCTCTTCGAAGTTAGAAAATCTATAATAGTATAGAAGTTGCTAATAGTTGCTTTTATGGCATTTTCATTACCTGACAGATATTCAGTGCTATCAGACGCGGAGACTGAGAGCATCTTCATGGAACCCATCCATCTATCATCTGCTGTGGCTGCTAAACAGATCATCAAAGAAGGTATGATTTGAGGAGAAGGATAATCAAATATGAGTATGGAGAAATTGGTATGTACATAAATCAGCAGGCACCAGGAAGGAGAAAAGAACTAAAAATTGTATTACTTTTCAGTTCAGTTCAGGAATCCTGGGGTATCCTAGGACCTTCATAAATAATCTTTCAAGTATATTAAAATGCTTTTATACTAAAGCCCAGTCAAGAGTTGCCATCCTTTTTAAATTCACTTTCTATTCAGATTCCAGATGATACCAACACTGATCTTTTTCATTTAAAAATTTCTGACCATCTTTTTTGAGATTAGAATTTTGGTGGTTTAATGAAAGTCAAAAAGAATTCCACCATCATACGTATGGTGCAGATCACAAAGAAATATTAAGGTTTTGGAAAGCTACTTTTTCTTTAATCCAAATTAAATTTTCAAAAGTATGATTTTGTTGAGGTTGGGGCTGGAAGCAGTGGTGGGATTCAAATATGTGAACAACTGGTTCTCTGTCTGGATGCTGCTTCCGGAAGTCCATTCTGGGCCTGGGCAACAAAAAAATTAGCTACCGATTCTGCCAAACTGGTACAAACCGGCTGAATCCCACCACTGGCGGGAAGGTTAATTCCACAAGTGCAAAATGTAGTTTTGACACATATACTTTGCACTTTCAATTCACCTAACTGAAATTTACTTCCCTGAAACCCTGAGAAACCAAAGCAAAATTTTACAATGAAGTATAATTAGCAATGAGCTAGCAATTGAGAAGCAACAACTAGTTGCAGAGAAATTTGATTAAACAAGACACATTTTTGAGTTAAACCATGTAGATAATTATTTGCACTATAATTGTGTGCCATGCCAATTCCCCATTTTAATTCTGATTTCATGGAAGCAAAGCAAATTTTCCCTTTTATAGCAGAAAGACATTACTTTCTATTTTGAACAGGGTGCTTCCCTAAAAGCTAACCAAGTGAGTAGATAACTAATAGTCATGTCAATGGTAAACAAAAATTGTTGTAATTTAAAAATGAAAATCTGGGTTCATTGCAGAGCTGAAGACAAAGGAAGTAAAAGTAGACACTGTATGTCCAGGGATGCTGGAATCTGCAGAGCAGTTGCTGATGGAAGATCTATATAACCGAGTTAAAGAAAAGATAGATGATACTAGCCTGTTCAATACACCATGTGTTATGGACATACAGAGAGCACTTATGAAAGACTATCTGGAATCACCAAGGGAGGCTATCGATGAGGTCTGGCCAAATATCTTCATAGCAGAAAAGTGAGTACAAAGATGGTTCTATCTGGATAAGATTCTCAGAGGATGCCCTCCTCAGTCTGTGTTATAGAAAATGACCTGTATTGTTAGATCAATAATTAAGTGCATTAAATTGGAAATTATACAATAGAAATAAAAAGTTATATTCAGAAGGTAAATATGACAGGTTGCTTTCAAAAACACAGTGGATAAATAGGGGAATCCTGATGTAATTACATACCTTTTCCATAACAGCGAGGACAGTAATAATAACTTATTAAAGGAGCACTCGTGAGATCAATATACTGTTTCTTCCCAACATATATGAGGCTGACTGTTCTACAGGGAAGGCTCTTTTCACATCCTGATGTCGGTAATAAGCCAGGCTGACTGGTCTGTAGGAAAGGACTTTTTCTGCAGGCCCACCTAAATGGTGAAAATCTCTGTCTCAAGAGATCTACCTGGTCTCATGAATTTTTACTGTACTTAAAACAACACTTTAAGGTTTGTTTTTTTACCATTTTAGCATAGAAACTTTAAGTCTGCCCATTAAATTAACTCTCAATATATTCACCTCTTGTTTTTTTACAACAGTTCATTTAATGACCATTCAAAATTACAAAGGCACTGAAAACAGTGACTTATGACCATTTTTCACATTGACGACCGTTGCAGCATCCCCATGGTCACATGATTAAACTTCAGACACTTTGCAACTGACTCATATTTATGACGGTTGCAGTGACCCAGGGTCATGTGATTACTTTTTGCCACCTTCTGACAAGCAAAGTCACTTAGCAACCATGTTACTACTTAATAACTAGCAGTGATTTACTTAACAACCGTGGCAAGAAAAGTCATAAAATGGGGCAAAAGTCAATTAACTGCCTCACTTAGCAACAGCATTTTTGGGCTCAATAGTGGTTGTAAGTTGAGGACTACCTGTATTTCTTTCTCTATTCTTGTCTATTTCTTGTCTTTATGTAAGTGGATATTTTAATTACCATGAATATTACATCAACAATAAAAGGCAGCATGCAAGGAAACAAATAAGCTAAAACTTATCATTAAAATGGCATAAAATACAATCTAAGAGTAGGATTTCCACAGATCATATTTGCTTATAAATTATTTCTTTGTGAACTTTGTAAAATGGTGACAAAAACATATGACTGACATAAACATACTACATTGATTCATCATCAGATTCTAACAGACTCAACCAATTCTCTCTTGGCTACTGTAATATAATATCCTTTCCCTTTGTATTGAAGGAGTGCTGCGGTAAATAAAGGACGGCTAAAGAGGCTAGGAATTACTCATATCCTGAATGCGGCTCACGGCACCGGTGTATATACAGGACCAGATTTTTATAATGGAATGAATATCCAGTACTTGGGCATTGAGGTGGATGATTTCCCAGATGAGGATATCACTAAACATTTCCGCCCAGCAGCAGAGTTTCTTGATGAAGCATTATTAACCTGCAGAGGTAAATAAGCCAAACAATATCAGTGGTCAGGGCCTTTCTCCATGACTGAATTGTAGAAATTCATCCATTGACTCAACAGGAAATTATACCAGTATGAGATTGTCTGTCTCTATTGCTTATTTCAAGTGACTGCAGTCTTCTGATTCGTCTCCGAGGTAATTGATCACAAAGCCTGGCAGATTTTATATGCCATATATGACCTTGGACAGCATCAAAATAATAGAAAAAATACTTTCGTCATAGGTAAAAACAACTCAAACCTGTTTCATTCATGGGCTGAGAATGGTACATCAGAGATATGTAGCAAAAAAGTGATGTTGCTAAGGCATGCTTGTGCTGTTTTGAGCTAGAAGTGGAGACAGACCCTTCATACATGGATTCATTATGACTTGTGAAATGGCTTTTATGAAGTTGGATACTTACAATATAGTTTCTATTTTTTGAATATTTTTACAATTCTTTTTATCATTTTTTTTAAAAACAGAACAATTACTATATGGTTACAAGCAGATTTAAAGCTAGTACATTTGTCATTCAACTTTGTCAATGATTGGGCAACTTGCGAGTATTCAGAATGTTTAGAGCTTGGCTTTCCTTTTTTTATCGCTGGCTTATAAATTGTGAAGTTGTATTGATTCTTTAATGCTATTGTATTTAATTTTTTTAGTTTAGCAAAATAACATATAAAAGCATTGTGGTAGGCAGATAGCATTATTTATTTAGCTTATTTTATCAGGTTCCTAGCTTTAAATATTTGTATCATGAAGCCTAACAACAGCAGATTATTTTTTATTTGCTCAGAATATACTAAACATGCAAAATACTTTAATATGGTTCTGAAATTATTATTTATATAATTTTACTTCTAGGAAAAGTTCTGGTCAGCAGTGAAATGGGAGTCAGTCGTTCAGCAGTGCTAGTATCCGCTTACCTAATGATCTTCCATCACATGACAATATTAGAAGCTTTATTGACTATCCGTAAGAAGAGAGCTATTTATCCTAATGATGGTTTTCTGAAACAGCTCCGAGAACTCAATGAAAAGCTACTTGAGGAACGAGAAGAGGAAGAAGATTCTGAAGACACAACAGATGGCCAAAGTTCTGTTGTAAGAGCTGGAAGTTGTTCCTTACTATCTGAGACAGAAGATTCTAAGAGTATTGTGGGAGCCAAAGTCCACTCTATCGTGGTAGAGGAAGAAGACACAACAAGTCTCCTGGGAAGTGCAATGAGTGCCTCTTCTATGGGAAAGTTGAGCTTGTTTTCCAAGGAGCCCACTCTTATCAGTGAAGAGGAGGAAGAAGAACTCTATGAAGAATGGAGAAGAAAACAAGGCTTGCCTGCCAAGGAAATTGTAAAGAAGAATGTAGAAAGTGAGCCTTCAGACCTATCACTTCAAGGACAAGTAGAATCTAAGGAAAATGTAGATCAAATGATCCAAGCATGGCAATGTCAAAATGAGAAGTACCAAATGGAAAGCTACATGTTGTCCAAAGAAGAGGAGTCTAGCATGGGGCAAAAATCATGCCTTGTAAATGATACAGTTGATACTGAAAGTGTGAGTAGCCAAGAAATCAGGATCTTGAAACAGGAGCTGGAAGCAAGTGGCATCAACAGAATGAGAAGAGGGCGTACAGATTCTATGTCTACAGAAAGTAGCTGGGATATGTGGAATGAGAGGATGATGGAGATAGAAAAAGAAGCTTCTAAGAAATATTGCTCAAGAGCTAGATATAGTGATGAGAATCTAAGATCTGAAAATGGAACAAGAGGAAGGGATATAGATACCGAAAGTGTATTGTCTGATACTAGTTCATTTTATAATTTCTGTCAAAAAAACAAAGACAAGTTGACAGCCTTAGAAAGATGGAAGATTAAAAGAATCCAGTTTGGCTTTCACAAAAAAGATTCAGAAATTGAGCAATCAAAGGCTGAAGACAGTAGCCAACAAAATAAAGAGTCTACAGAAGAAGAGAAGAGCTTGTCAGATATCAATATGACAGCCTACCAAGCCTGGAAAACTAAGCACCAGAAGAAAGTTGGTAGTGAGAATAAGGATGATATTGTAGAGCTTACCAAAGGTGAGGACTCTGCTTGTGCTAGGAGAAAACAGAGAAGAATGGAGTTACTTGAACACTCAAAGAAGGTTTTGGAGGAAAGCCAGTCTCTCTGTAGCTGGGAGGCAGACAGTTCCATGAGTGGAAGCATCCCTTTGTCAGCTTTTTGGCCATCAATAGCTTCCGTAAATGGGACAGAGGATTCGGCTTCAGCAATAAGCATGCAGACCAATCGCTCATCTTTTTCTCAGGCTAGAAGCAATCAAGGGGCTAAGTCAGCAAGTGTGTCTGGCCTGTCCATTGGCCCAGATGAAACAATATCAATAGCCAACATTCAAAATTGGATAACCAGTGTTGTTAATGAAACTATTGCTCAGAAACAAAATGAAATTCTTATGTTGTCTCGTTCACCATCAGTATTGGCTTCCAGTGTTAAGTCAGGTGATCCAAACAGACATGTGGAAAATGACAGGTCTTCTCTGCTTAAAGCACAAACTGGCTTACCTCCATCTAGTTCTACTTCACTGCTTCATCGAGACCCTCAGTATGCTGACACGCAATCCATCCTATCTTGTAACACTTCAGTGAGTATGGAAGACTCTGTCTCAAGTAGGAAAATAACTGAGACAAGCAAGCCTCTTTTCAGCCTTTTTGCTGATGAGGTAGACCTGAAGAAACTTAGCAGAAAGGAAAGGGAGAGGCAAGCAGAAATGAGAGAGAAGATATCAGATTACCAAACTGAGAAGCTTATCAGTGACAATAAACGTAGCACTTTATTTAAGAAGAAAAAGATCAAGGGAGATGTTGAAGATGAAAAAAGAGATAATATGTATGACAGAAGTAGAGAAAATGTAAATGGTGGTCCTAGACCTCCATTAACAGATGATATTAATTCCAGTGACACAGTTTCTGCTCTCTCAGGCCAATTTGCTAATGTTGGGGGTGTTATAAGGTCAGAAGTAGAAAACAATGTAAACAAGTGGCTCAGAGATTTGAAAACAGAAGAAAAGTCCTCTTACCAGAACTGCACTGAGGCCAGTAGTGAGAAATGTAGGAACTCGTCCACTTTCAGAAAGGTGGACACTGAAGCTTCTAGTTATAGAAGTTCCAGATCTCAGAGAGAAGAAATGAACAGTTCTACAACCCATCAGTATAAGAATAAACTGCAAAGAACTTCTTCACAATTTTCCTCTGCCTCTGCACAAGAAGAGAAGGCGTATACATTTACACAGTCAAAAGTGAGTGAGACAAGCTCTACAGAAGGAAGTCCAGAGCCATGTTTTTCTAGAACTTCAAAATCCTCTTATAGCTCAGAATCCTCCAAGCCTTCGACCAGATTGTATCACTTGGAAGAACAAGAAGAGGAGTCCAGATTAGACATGACTGAATCTGGAGCAAAGAGAAAATTCACCCAGAGTTTTGCAAAGTCTGAAGAGGGTACAGAAAAAGAAGAGAATATGGAAGAAAGCAAAGAGTATATTACATCAAAATATTTAATAAAAAACAGACAAAGCACTCATAAGGAGGAAGAAGAAATGGATGATGATGCTATCATTGCTGCCTGGAGAAGTCGACAAGCAGAAACCAAAGCAAAGCTTCAGCGAAGGAGAGAAGAGTAATGAAGAGTTAAGTCATGCCAGTCCATTTCTACCTTACGTTTGGAGGAAAGCCTTCCAAGTATTTGTAAGCATCCAATGTTTAAACAGCACATTTTAATCATTTTACTTATATTTCTTATTCTCCTTTCTACTAAATAGTACATCAAGCACTATTTAGGCCGGGATTTTCATTCATTAATTCGATCATTATGGGAGTAATCAGTAATCTGAACTTCTAATATTCTTTTCTTTCTAATTACAAAACCACATAGTTATTGCTTGTCTCTTGGGTGTATCGATGTAGAAAGTACTAAGGGTATAAATGTAAGGTTGGTTCCTATGACAAGTTGGAACAAAATATCACTTTTGAGTCACATAGGAAGATTTTAATTTTGTTTTCAAAGACAATTTCAGAAATAAAATTTACTTTTCAAACCAAACGGAAAAATCAACTTATAAAATGCGTGTGATAGTAGCATGTCCCTTTTAAGTGCAAATGCATCCAGGCTATGTTTTAGATTGGGCACAATGCCTAGAATAGAGTTCCTATGCTTAAGTATTTTAATAAAAGATGTTGCAAGACATCTGTTTGCATGCTATGATAAATTCCAGGAGTGTTTCCCTAAAGATTCTTGTCCAGAACAGACCTAATAACAACACCAATATTTTATAAGAGCTCCTTTGTTCTGGCCAGATTACTTATATTCCTTACCAAAAATTCATTTGGCCCAGACTATTGGTATTTTGGAGTATGTGTGTGTAGGGGATTCCCAGTCTTTGTCAGTGCTTCATCTAATTTTTCAGATAAATCTCCATCCTCACTAAATTGGGTATAGCTTGGGGTTACCAGGTGTCCAGCTAAAGTAAGAAATGTCCTCCTTTTTTACTTCATGCCCTCTGTCTGGCAGGCATAGCCTTAAAATCAAATATTGTCCAGTTTTTAAATATCTCTTCCTGAGCAGCTTTTCTCTAATAAGTGATAAGTACAAGTTAAGCTCTGCTCTGTAATCTTAATTAATTTATTAGTATCCTCTGGTTTTACTCTGCTGCCTAAAATGCTGCCTGAAATTGAAAAGACCTTTATCAGTTGAAGGCTTTTACCTTCTACTGGTAAATACTCTACCATTGTCAGCCTTGTGAGGAAGATTAAGCTGGAGCTCCCATACTTAAAGGTATGGTGTCCTGAAGGAATCTTGTCTAAACAATCTCTTCAGGAGAGAGATAAGAAGGAACTAAGTCATTAAGGAAACAAGTCCCCTAACCCAGACAAAAGTTGGGCCCCGAGCACATGGGAAACTCCTCCCCAAATCCCATCAATAGCTACCAAACATGTAAATCAACAAGGTTAGAGTAGCTGCCAGTCTTGTGAATCAACAAAGCAAGGACTTTGGAGGATAAAAGGAGTCCTACCCACACATAAACACATTGTAACCAGGAAAATTTTGCAGTTATTTTAAATTTACTGGGTCTCATGTATTCTAAAGAAGCGTTTGTGCTTCAGTGTTTGGTTGAAAGTTATTTGGGTGTGGCTATTTTGTGAGTGTGTGAATGAATGATCATATGCTGAACCTGGGAGCACATGTATAACAAAGCCTGGATAGGAAGTATTCCCAGAGGAATTCAATCTATGGTAAGATTATAATGTAATCTATGTAAAGTACATTAACAGAATTTGCAAGTCTGAAAGTACATTTCTGTCCTGCTGCCTTTACAGCCCAAGAAACTAGGGAGGGTCTCTTATGAGATGTTTGCTGTAAAGTAAGCTGACTTTTGGCTATGGCTGTTCCCTCTGCCTCCAAAGATCATTCCCACATATTATTGTAAGCACATTTCTGTGAATGAAAAAAGTCTTTCTGGTGCTGAAGAAAGTAATTATCAGAGATAATCCAGTCAAGAAGCACAACAGTGAATATCAGTATTATCTTTTGTGAATGAAGGCAAATATACATGTCCCAGGATAATGTTGCAGGATCCAATCTGAGTCAGTCACCGGGACCAAAGTTTCTTCCAAGTTTTCAAACCTGGAGATTCAAAAGTTCCCTGAGGATGGGTTCCAGCAGAAGTCTCAAAGCTTGAAAAAAACCTCTGGTTCTGGTGACCAATTCAGATTGGATCCTGCAGTATTATCTTTATTATAAGGTTAAATTAATAGATTCTTGCAAGACTGAAATAATTGCTCCCCTTCTTTCTTCTCTGGAAAACTAGGGATGGTCCCTTCTGAAATGTTTTCCATACCATTCTCCCCTTTTGTGTGTTGAAGCATCGTTTACATGTCAGTTGTCCAGTCTGCAGCTTTTCCTTTGTCCCCCAAGATCATTCTCACACACTGAATCAGTCCAGGAATTGATCAACTTGTTTTACTGCAGGCCAAGATATAGTTGAGTCTCAAATCACCTTCACTGTTCCCAAATGATGTTCTTAAGTTTTGCCCTCCCCCCCTTCACTTTAACTGAGGACTATATCAAATTGCCAATTGCTTTAGAATGAAATGGATATATGGCTATAGATATAATTGTGGTGGTTCATCAGATTTGATATGAGAATCTTGTTTAAGACAAATGACCATTTGATTCTTTTTAAAATGGGCAAAGATGATTCAGCCTCATGTGCCCTTCACATGCTCATACCTTCCTGTACTCTCTTTGGACTCACGTCAAAGTCCTTCTACTTTCTTATGTTCAAAGAAAATTCATGATAGGGCCATAAATACCGTGACTAGTTAAAAGGGAAGCTATTTTCTCTCCATCCCACAAGATTGCTTCTTGCAAGAAAGGCGGGGGTAGGGTGGGGTGGGGTGAAACACTTTGAAGATTTCTTCTTCCTCCTCTTCTTCTATTAATGTAACTGCATGTGAAAACTATCTTCTGAGTTTTGCTCCTAACATCATTTCAATCAGGCTCTGCTGTGACAGCTTTCTCTACTAGATCTGTAAACATGGAGGAGGATCGGTAGATTCATTTTCTCATTCTTAGAAAGAAAGTCTGGATTGGGGTTATAAAATGCTGGAAGTGACTTCTGTGACACAGAAAAATGAAAAAATGCACTCATGCTGCAATCTGATGCAAGATTGCCAATCTCAGATGCAAATTGATGCAAATGAGATGCAATCCAGATATTATATTTCTTTTTAGCTATGGCAAAGTCTGTGAAGACCTGCCCTCTCCCATAGATTTGCCCCAGGAAGGTCCAGAAACAATATTTTGGAAATAGTCTTGCACAGATCTGGATTAATAGTGTCACTGTTATAGTTTCAGTTATTTTTAATTAGTTTAACAGGTTTCAGACTTCTTACAATTTCTATTAATGAGGACTTCAAGCTAAATCAACTAAACCCTGAAGGTAAGAACAGAAAACAAACAAACAAAAAGTTTTATCACATCTATATCCTTATCAAAATATTTTTCAAAAAATAAGACATTAAAATAAATTTCTTGGGATATGACAAACCAAAACATCAACAAGAGTAGTTTTGTTCCTATTAATTTAGCAGAATTATAGGAAAAGGCTTTAATGAGAAGATGCATAAAGACTGAGTAATTTTCTCTAGCTATTATATTGTCCACAGATTTGTTTCTAATAAATTAATTTGTAATACCAATCTTCCTTCCCCATCCCACCCCAAAATGCATAAATCTTTCTAGAATCGAATTTTTAAAATTTATTTGGACAATATTTTTTAAAAAATTCTGTTGAAGAATTCCCATTCTTAGAAAAGTTGAACCCTAGTTTTCACAGATGAAATACTAAAATCCATAACCTTAAAGGCAGCATGGATTCACTTGAAAAGGTATTTCTGCAAGAAGATAGAACATAAGTATGTCAGAAAGACATGTGATTCTCTTATGTGACATCTGCTTCTTTGTCTTGAAATTACTAGTATAGAAAATTTTCACAATCTCTCATCTCAGTGATATTTCCCAAGACATTTACCAGTATATCTGTATGAAATGGACCTTAGTTGGATATTGTCACACTTGTGTATAACTTGAGCAAAGAATAGAAAATATAATCTTCTTATCAGAGGGCAAATATACAGTCTCCTTGTTCCAGTAACGGCTAGTCTGTCTCCAGGGCAAGGCTTTAATTACACAGTTATGACTGTCTTCTTGATTCTTTTGCCTGCCTTCCAATGGACAACTCTGATTATAATCACAAATGCTGGCTATTAATATTGCTAAATACCATTCACCTGTACAAACTGAAGAATATAATTTTGTTATTTTAATTATTTAGGCATACATATTAAATGCTGACATCATTAAGCCTTTTATACCTTTTACAATATGCTGTGATAAAATGTGAAAGGGGTGTTAAACGAGAAATAGGAGTGCATTCTTGAGTAAGGATTACTATTACAAATTTACTATTGTATTATGTTAATTTTTCATAGCTCCTGTTTTATATCAGTCCTGAATCAAGCAGTCCTATTATTTTTATATTTAGTTTGATCCAATTTAAACTTTGTATAATGTTTTGATAATAATCATAATGAAAATAAATGCACCAATTCTGGAATGAATAACATTCAGAATCAGAACTAATAGAATAGAGTCTATCAGATCAATATCCATTTATAATACAAAATAAAGTATTCACAGAAGTAGAATTGAAAGAGCTGCAAAGGTCTGCCCATGGCAAAGAAATTGAAGTCTTATCAGAAGTGGCTCAGACATTAGAGACGAACCAGGGGGAGTCAATAGTAAAGAAAGCCAACACTGCTATTGAACCATTTTCATTCCCAAACTAGGCACCCTCTTCACTATCTTCTTTTCAGAAAGAACATAGTCTGTGACTGCTTGATGCCATCCATATATTAATGCCAATATATTATAGCATCCTAGGTTCTTGAGAAGAACTCAAAGCAAATGAAGGCCAACACCAGCTAAAGAACTGGTAACTGTGACTTCAGATTATTGTGATGATAATAATAATAACAAATACCACATAAACCCCAGCCTAACAATTGTTAACAGGAAAGACCAGAAAGTCTGGAAAGTGAACACTGCAGTACCTAGAGACAGTAAAAGAAAAAAGAAAAAATCACAAAGACCTGCAAATAGAAGCAGAATGACTGTGGCAAAAGAAAGCAAAGACAATACTAATCATAAGAGGTGCCTTGGCTGCAATCCTAAAACATCTGGAGCATCATTTGAACACCATCAGCATTGGCAAAATCACCATCAATCAATTGCAAAGGGCAGCTTTACTTGGAACAGCTTATATCCTGCATACTTGTCTAGGTCACTGCTTGGCCCTAATTTAAGTTTGTTTATAAATAAATTAAAAATCATTTATTTCTATTTAGATTCTGAGTGAACTCAATATTTATATTACAGCCAGCTTTTGGATAAGCAACATCAATGGGGATGCCAACAGGGGAAAATCAAAAGTCGCAGTCACATGACATCTCGCTTAACAAT